CCAGCTCCAACCAATCTCTCCCAAATCCTTACCGGATCGAATTTTCCCGCCATTTCTAATTCCCAAATCTCTCGTTTCGCGATGCAATGTTCGTCGAGCGAGCTCCGTCGTCGTCAGTAGCTCTGCTTCCGATCGGAAAACTCTTCCCCAATCCGCCATCCAGAGAATCGCTGAGAAGCTCCGTAGCCTTGGATTCGTGGAAGAGAAGCATGATTCGCCCACTACGAATGATGAAGACTCTCCCGGAGAGATATTTGTTCCGTTGCCTAACCAGCTTCCGATTCACCGGGTCGGGCACACGATTGACACGAGCTGGAGCACGCCCAGTTACCCGATTCCGAAACCCGGGTCGGGTACTGCTATTTCCAGGTATCATGAGTTGAAGAGAGTGTGGAAGAAGGAAAATGAGATAGAGAGGAAGAAGGAGGAGAAGGTTCCGTCGTTGGCGGAATTGACATTGCCGGCGGCGGAGCTGAGACGGTTGAGGTCGGTTGGGATTAGGTTGACGAAGAAGCTTAAGATTGGCAAAGCCGGGATTACGGAAGGGATAGTGAATGGGATTCACGAGAGGTGGAGAACAACGGAAGTTGTGAAGATTTTCTGCGAGGATATTTCTGGAATGAACATGAAACGGACCCATGACGTCTTGGAGGTTTGTAAATGTTTACAAATTACACTAAAGCTCAGATTAATTTCGTAGAAGCTTTGGGCTCTAATGTGTAAGATTTGGCTTCTGGCTCATAGTTCAATCGAAATCTATGAATATGTCAACGAATGGCACATTCATACCAAAAATACATTAGGATGGTAAGGTTTTTGTGTGTTCATATTTCTTGTGGTTGATTTTTGCAGACGAAAACTGGAGGCTTGGTCATTTGGAGATCTGGGAGCAAAATTTTGTTGTATAGAGGGGTAAATTATCAGTTTCCTTATTTTGTATCTGATCAGAGTTCGGCACATGATTCTTCTGTGGAAACTGCGTCAGGAGCATCATCTATGGATCCGGTAGCTGTTGATAGTAGAGAGAAACAGACTACTGCAGAATCTTCTGCCCTGAGTACTACTAATAAAATGGTTAAACCCTTGTTAATACAAGGCGTTGGTTCTCCGGATAAGGTTCGGTTTCAACTACCCGGTGAAGTACAGCTAGTAGAGGAAGCAGACCGTTTGCTGGAAGGATTGGGTCCTAGATTCACTGACTGGTGGGCGTATGATCCTCTTCCAGTAGATGGTGATCTTCTGCCAGCCATAGTACCTGACTACAGGAGACCATTCCGGCTTCTTCCATATGGCGTGAGTCCAAAACTAACTGATGATGAAATGACCACTATAAGGAGACTTGGTAGACCACTCCCTTGTCATTTTGCTTTGGGTAAGCTTGTTTTCACCTGATTATAGCTTCTTGTAGACAAGATTGTTCAACTTATGTTGGCTTACTTGTCTGCGACTTCTAGGTAGGAATAGAAATTTGCAGGGACTAGCTGTTGCTGTTGTCAAGCTTTGGGAGAAATGTGAACTTGTCAAGATAGCAGTGAAGAGAGGAAAGCAGAACACTAATAGCGAGCTGATGGCCGAAGAGTTAAAGGTAAAGTATCAAACTGTTTGTGGCTTGTATTGCGAACAATAGGAAATTATGCCGCTCATATAACTGAAGTTATCTATTGATGAGGCGAAAAAATATTTATGTTGCAGTGGTTGACTGGAGGGACTCTGATATCTCGGGATAAAGATTTCATTGTCTTGTACAGAGGAAAGGATTTCCTCCCATCTGCAGTTTCTTCAGCAATAGAAGAGAGGAGAAGGCAAACAATGATTGAAAATGCTAATAAGCTGACTGAAAATGCTACGAACAGTACTGAATTAGAAGCTAAATATAAGAAGGATCATAGACAAACCAATCAATTGAAACCAAGACAGCGGAAATCTCCTGAGGCAATCCTTGAAAAAACTAGTATCAAGTTGTCCATGGTATGCCCCATAACAGACATGTTCTACTTTAATCCATTGGGTTTGAGAGAACTCTTTTAGTTGTGAATGATTAATTTTCTCTTTAGGCTTTAGAAAAGAAAGCAAATGCAGAAAAAATTCTGGCGGAGCTGGAGAATAGAGAGAGTCCTCAACCGTCTGCTATAGACAAGGAGGGTATTACTGATGACGAAAAATATATGCTACGAAAAATCGGCTTGAAAATGAAGCCTTTCCTTTTACTAGGTATGTAATTGTTTTTCCTGTTTTTCCACTTGAAAGCAGCCTGTTCCCGTCTTTCATGTAAATATATGTGGTAAATGAGTAACTGTCATCGTTGTCTCTTTGACATACTATATGTAATCTATCCTTTTCTGAAATATCTTGTTGTGTTCTCAAGGTAGACGAGGTGTCTTTGATGGAACAGTAGAGAACATGCATCTTCACTGGAAGTATAGGGAACTTGTGAAGATTATTTGCAATGAACGGAGCATTGAAGCTACTTACAAAGTAGCAGAAGTCTTGGAAGCAGAAAGTGGTGGCATACTAGTTGCTGTGGAGATGGTGAGCAAGGGCTATGCAATTATTGTGTATCGTGGAAAGAATTATGAGCGGCCTACATGTCTACGACCTCAAACACTTCTCAGTAAGAGAGAGGCGCTGAAGCGATCTGTGGAGGCACAACGTCGAAAGGTAAGTAAAATCAAGCTCTAAGAATATATCTCATCTGGAAACTTCAAATTGATTTTGTTAATTTCTCGACTGATTTTCTAATTATTTTCTGCTCAAACTAATGCAGTCATTAAAGCTGCATGTGCTGAAACTTTCCAACAACATTGATGAATTGAACCGTCAGTTGGTAAGTCATATGTGTTGCTCAGCTTGATTTGCTTAAACAATCCTCGAAGATGTTCGTAACATTTCAAATGCTGGTTGAGGGCAGGTCGAGGACAGTACGACCAATGAAACGTGGTCAGATGGGGAATCAAGTAACAAAATGGTAAATTATTCAGTTTCAGTAAATTCACGTCTGCTCTTGATGCCTATGTGATTTTCTCAATTCTCCATATTGATGTAGGTCGAAGGAGAAACAGTAAATCAGAATATTGAACCTGAGAAATCAAGAGAAGAAATTGAACTCGGCTATTCTTCTGACTTATCAGTTCCTTCCTCTGGTGAAGAGAACTGGGAGGTAAAACTCTTAGCTCCTACTCGAAGTTTCTTGCATATGGCTCCAATGTATATATATTTATATGGCTGGTAACTTGGCATCTAGTAAAAAGCTAGCAACAAGTATTTTTGAATATTAATATATTCTGAATTCTGAGACTGTGTTGTCGAATAGGATGACAGCGAGGATGAAGTAAACCCATATATTACGAGTGGTCATGAGTCTCAAGAGAATGAATCTGTATCCGGCACTTCTCAGGGACATGAGGGCAACTCTCTTGATGCAACTGCAAATATATCTGTACTAGCAGAAACCGGTTTTACCGAGGCTTCATTTCATGATAGATCCATGGTAGTGCCTAAAACTCTTCTCTTTCCTATGTGGGCCCTATGTGTTGCTGTATGTAATTAATTACTTTCATTGCGTATTTTAGCCGCGCAACAACTTCGTGAATGCTGAACGAAAGGTACCAACCAGGCAAGAGCTGGGATCACTAAGTGGAAGTGGCTCACAAATCTCAGTACCGACAGAGAGCAAAAATGATGGGTTGGTTACAGATCTGTCCAATAGAGAGAGGCTTATTCTGAGAAAGCAGGCTCTTAAGATGAAGAAGCGTCCACCTTTTGCAGTAGGTGAGTATCTCAAATCCAATACTTTTAGTTATACATTGGATAAAGCTCTTTACATAATCTCAAAGGCCTGTAGTTACATAACCTACTTATATAGGTAGACACACTTGAAACCTTATAGTTACTATTATTAAGAATGACAGTAGTTCTCACTAACAATTTTTCAAATTTCAATTTTGTAGGAAGAAGCAACGTTGTGACCGGTTTAGCTAAAACACTGAAGATGCATTTTCAGAGAAACCCTCTAGCAATCGTAAACGTCAAAGGGAGAGCCAAGGGAACATCTGTCCAAGAAGTCATCGCAAAGCTCAAGGTCGATTCATATCCACACTACAATTTTGAGAAACCAACCATTATTACTTGGTCTGTTTAGGGATTTGTTAAAAAATCGTGGTTTGTGCAGGAAGAAACAGGAGCTCTTCTGGTGTCGCAGGAGCCAAGTAAAGTCATACTTTACCGAGGTTGGGGAGCAGAAGAAGAAATGAAAAGCTTCTACCCAAACAACAATGTCAAAAACACCATAAATCTAACATCTTTACAGAGGTTTGTTAATGATCCTCCTCCTGTGTCTCCTGCACTCATTGAAGCCATAAAACTTGAATGTGGATTGCAATGATGTTTTCAGTTATTACATGTAAAAGGTTAAGTGTAATTCTTATGTAAATTTCAGATGAAATGATAATAACTGTCCCCAAAAAAAAAAGTAAATGTTCTTTCTCTGTACACTCACGTAACATACATACGGTAGGAAACAAAATCGAAAAATTCAAAGCGCAAATGATTTTAATTATACTTCCTGACCGAACATCCCTAGCCTGTCCAAAAAAAAACTCTTTCTCTCACTCTCCCGAAAATTGATTTGTGCGTTTTGGATAAAGAATCTCAGAGCGTTTTGAGAAAAGGTGAGGTCGAGAGTGGCTTGACTCGGATGCTTCTGGTGTAGAGGTTGGTGAGTGCAAAGAGTAGCAGCACAAACACCACTTGAGCACTCACTATCCCGAAATGGCTTATACTATTACCAATCTCCATCCAGCTTCCTGTGTTTTTCACCTGAAATATGTTTTGCGACAATAAATTGTCAGTGAAGCTTTTAACCCAAATCTATATGCTTTTGACATAATTGATTGCGTTGGTTGCGTCTATGACATAATTTGATTGGGTTGGTTGCGTCTATGCTTACCAGGAAGAAGAAATGGATCGTCATTATGTCTGAAAATAAGATCACAAGGAAGTAACATCCCAGTCTTGGCACTCTCACTAATTTGGTTATGGCACTGAACGCACATCTGCAATTCACAAGTAGTTTAAAGGAAAACAAGAATGTTAATAGGATTTAAGAGAAGAGTGTTACTGAGTTTGGTTTAGCAATTTATACTCACATGACAAGCATGAACGGTATGAAGAGCTTGAATATAAGAAGAGCTGCCATCAGAAACGGCTGTAGATATGAAACAATCATCATAACATTTTATTGAGTTAAAAATTATCAGAAAAAGATTCATTCATATGAGATACTTACGCTGAAGATTGTGATGAACCGATATACAGATGATATCTCAAAACTTGCTATACTTGCAAAATTCCCAGTTCCAAAGAAAGCGACATTGAACAAGACCATCTACAGAACACAAGCCAAATACAAATCATATAACTGCTATTTCGTCAGATGTAACAGAGCTCTTAACCTCACACTATAAATTCATAATAGGACCAAGGAAAACGAGAAGTTGACTTACAAAAATCAAAGGAATCCGCACATCAGATAACTGCAAGTATCTCTCGTCATTTCCAATAGTGACATGTTCCTCTGTGTTTTGTTCTGATAGAGATGAATCTTTCGCTTTGCTAGAATGATGAGATGCGTTCTCAAACAGTATCCATGCCATTAGTACGACTGCAAGACCACTGTAAAAGACAGCTTCGTATCTGCAAACAAATCATGGAAACATGAGAACAGAACAATAATCCATATAACCAGTCTAATTTATACCCAAGTCTTGTAAGAGACATACCCAATAGACAGAAGAAGGAATGGAGGCGCGAAACCAAGAAATATTGAACTTAATCGTGAAAGGATGCCATTTCCTGAAAACAACGGAAGAACCATAGAAGAACCTGCAAAGACAGAAGACGGTTAATATCACCGATAACCTATACAGAATGAAACACATTATGCAAACAGAACATAGGTCTGAGGACATACCAGCAACTAACCAGTTTATAAACTGGTGTGACGAATGTAGTTCTTGATTCTGTGTTCGGTGCTTTGTAGACAGAAACACCATCACCGACGAAACTCCAACCAAGAAAATCTGTTCCCATTCGTACCATGAAAAGGTGAGCCATTTGACGCAGAACCAAAATCTTAAGTTATAAACGTAGAAATGGTTTATACCTGAATGCAATATAGCATGGAGCACATCGGCTTCCTGCTTTCATGAAAAGTGATACTCTGCCAAAATTTGTTCCCTTCTGCATGTGTGTCTAGCCACTTTGCAGCAAGGCTTATTACTATGATGATAGCTCCACTTATAACTCTGCAACCAACAGATGGTACCAACATGAAACAGTGACCATTTCACAACTATAAGTTGATGCTACAGAGAGAAGATGGTTATTTTGTGTTCAACATAATTTCTATTCTTTTAATTCAATTGAATATGATTATCCAATGGGAGTGAAGCCTTGTTCTAGATGAGTTTCATTCTCAAAGCATTTGTGTCATGTAAACCACAAAACATAAGAAAAATAATCAGAGGAAATTTCAAGCAAGGGCAGGAAAAGGGACTTACACTAAGTTATTATTATCAGGAATTTCAGCTGGCATGAGAGTGAAGACAGATATGAACCAACAAGAAAGACAGACAAAAACTGGTATCCCAGATCTCCAAGGAATTGAAAAGTGAAGCAAAATTGAAGCCACAACACCGGCTATCAAAAAAAACCAAGTGTAAAGCTTTCTCTCAGTGAAGCTATGAACCTGCAGGAGGTTGAAAGGAACAACCGATCAGGGCAATATTAGTCTCTCTATTTCAGAAAAACCTATTAAGACCATCCAATTACACATACCAATAATTCCACAATGACAACAGACACAGCTGCAGCAAATAGAAGTTTGAGGAAGTAGCCAGCCTTCCTCTTTCTCAAATATCTCCACAATCCTCTTATTAATCGATATTCACTAAATATCTGTGTCCATAGAAATATTGTCATTCCAATATATGCATGGTAAAGTGGGGGAGAGTGCTCCACCAAATTTAACACCGAGAGAATTGTCATCAGCAGAAAGCCTGATAAATATGCCTGCATCAAAATGATCAAAATATATGAGAGTCAAAAATTTCGCAGAAAAAGTACAAATACTCAACCATCACAAACAAAGAAACCTTGTTTAACCAAGAAAACCAAAGAACGGCTTAAAAAGAAGAGTGATCTTTTCAAGAAGTTGAAGCGTTTATGTCTGCCTTACTTTTCCAGAGTCTTTTTTCTGCACAGATAATTGCTCTTTTCTGGACAAGTCTCCTGATAGTGAACTATAACATTTCAGGACATGCAGGGCAAGTACAATCATCCACCCACTGTATCCAAGGGTGATTACAGTCATCAGCATTAGCCAGTCATACGTCTGGAAATAATGAAGACCCTCTAGTGACAAGTTTCTGAGGTCCACAGCCAATTTCATTGCAGCTTCATAACTTTTGGCGGAAATTAACTCATCAATCTGACTCAACGATGATGAATGGTGAACCAACGGCTTGAATGGCTTGAAAAATAAGGAATTTGACATTTTTATATCTGATTTCGTCAAGGAGACCATACACTAGACGAAAGGCAACATATAAGCAATTCTAAGGGGAAAAAAATCCAAACACAGAGAGAAAGCTATTTTGACTTCTGGAACACGAATAAAGAATGAACAATATCCAAAGCTTGAATGCAGAGAACGACATCAGAGAAGTGATACTACTGTAAGAAATTATAATCATCAGCAGAAGGTATGCTAGCATTGGATTGTGAATAAAAGGATACGTGATTTACGGAGAAGCTGATTAAGGATTTGTTTGGTATTGGCTAGCACAGCTTCAACTTCTTCTGCCTGAAAATACATAAACGATAAAGCCCCATAAGTCTCGACCTCCAAGCCATGTACTTATTTAAACTATTTATATTCTTATTCCTATTTTAAACCAGTTCCCT